GCTGCGCCCGACACCAGCAAAAAAAAAAAAAAAAAGCTACTTAGTCGGCCAACCCAGAGAGGGAACAAGCCTCGGGCATTTGCATGACTCTTGATTATCAGTAACTGTCAGAGGAAACAACACGCGCGCGCAGACACACACACACACACACACACACACACACACACACACACACACACGCACACACATAGCCTCTGGGACTACTCAGGCAACCATTTCAAGATAGTAGAGCGCGGCGGCAGTTTTGCAGGCTCCACAAATGCAATCATCTCGCTGGTGTGTAGAAACAGACAGTCGGGTCTTCATGGTGCCGAGACAAAAGGCCAACTCAACATGGAGCAGAGTTCACAAGGTGACTGGTGCGTCCATGCAGGCCTTTATTAATGGATCACGGCAAATCAGCGTATTCGTGATGTGAATGATTGCGCTCTCAAAATGCAGACGGGGTGTGTCGTCGAATCCAAATACTAAATCAACAAATTCCAGCAAACAAGGTTGAGAGCAAAAAAAAAAAAAAAAAGAAGCACAGGAAACAGAAAGACGACATTGGTAGAGACAACAGCATTGACAACAATGAACTATGAGAAAGAGAACTAAATACAAGCACTCAGAGGAGACAACGAGGCACACGGGGACAAGACAGCGATGGGAGAAAAGGAGCTGCTTGGTAGACACAAGGAAGACAGTTGACGAGAACAGGCGGAAACCAAACGAGCGAGACAAGACGTGAGTGCGTGTGCGCGTGTGTGCGTGTGTGTGTGTGCGTGTGTGTGTGTGTGTGTGTGCGTGTGTGTGTGTGCGTGCGAGAGCAGTTTTGTAAGCCATCTATTGTTGTTGAACATGTTTGTGTATGTCGAGCAGGTGAGGCTCAGGCAGCCAGGTGAAGCTTATGTGGACACAGATGTCACAAGTGGGTGGTCCAAAGCAGAAAGCACCACACATATACATACTGTATATATATATTGCTGTTCTATTTTAGGAAAAAAAAAAGATCCATGTACTACTACAGCGGTTACATGTTGTGCTGTCATCATAGAAGGTACAATAACTTTATTGTGCGAGTTGTGCTCGAGGATGTGTGTTAACAGTGCAGAGCAAGCTCTTGTTTCTGAATCACTATGAACACAATTATTTGAATAGTCAGTGAATGCACCTGCACACACATGCAAGAGCGTTTGCATACACACACACACACACACACACACACACACACACACACACACACACACACACACACACACACACACACACACATGCACACACGTGACTTTTTGTCACCGCACTGAATGACCTTCTTCAGGTGGAGGGTTGCCAGGCAACTAATCCAGGTACGGGTGATGCGAATTGGACATCTGCTCCTACAACATCTGAGCGTGGACGTCCCGAAAAGCAGCTGGTGGACCATTTGTCACCTTTTCGGTGCCTCGTTCATTCCCAAGGTGACGTCGACAGCAATATGGATTATTATGCGGTGTGTATTATTGAATTGTGGTGACAGGCGCACACAACACACACACACACACACACACACACACACACACACACACACACACACGCGCACACACACACACACACACAGAAGAAGGAAGGAAGGACAGAAGGAAGGAAGAAGCACACCCAGTGACATTCTTGATTGTCCCGCTGCTGCTGTAGCAAACAGCGTGTTGCTTTTTTCTTTTTAGGGTCATCGCATAAGTAATTGTACGTGGTTGATTAGAATGACACCAAGGAGCGTAAATTGATTTTTTTTTGTTTTGCGGCAAAGACGAACACATTGTATTTTATATATTTTATATTGATAAAAAGCAACAATAATCCATGCCCATGATGAAGTCGTACTTTGCCTCACCAAAGATACACGCAGGCACCCACGCAGCAAAAAAAAAAAAAAAATCAAAATTGGCTACAGCAATCGTCACACTCAAACTCCTAATACGACTGATGCCATTTTTCAAATTCCATTCATGATACTACTTTTAATAACAATCCAGTACTGGTAATACTTGGACCTACTTATTACTGCTAGGAAGGCAAACTATACTGACAATACCAACAATGAGAATACAGGATACTAATAACACTCATGCTTTGTACTACCACTGATGTACTTCATTCGGGGTTGAAATGTGGAACGAAGGAAGGATTTACATCATATACATAAACATACTCTCAGGAGATCACAACAATACGGCGTTTTATATTAATGACCGAATACCACAATACTTATTCACCTTGCGCCACGTATTGAAATGAGTTA